AAGCTCCTCGGTCAAGATAACCTCGATTTCGAGCCGCTGCTGCTGCCTCTGAAGCGGGCAGTCTGTACGAAGCTGAATTCCAAGCTGTTTTCGTAACCTTTTAAGTGTAGGTTCAGAGACCTGGAATCCCTCCTTTTGTAGCACTTCGAGTGTCTCTTTAGGAGATAAACCGGCTTCGGTAACTAGCGTGAGAAGGCGAGCGTGCAAAGCTTCATTTTGGCTGGGTAGTTCGCGTCGCAGGCCCCAGGAAGAAAGGCGAGTTTTGAGCGTGCGAAGTGAGATATTGACGCCGTAGCTTTGTATGACGGTCTGGATATTGGCAATAGGTGTATTCTGAGAATATAAGAGAGTAATCTCCTCCCTATAAGACTCTAGGTTAATTGGAGGGCGTGGCATGGTAAAAATAGAGGTTATTCATACGAGCCCAAAATAGTAGGAATTATACTGTGTTAAAATCAATAGAAAGGATTGCCGGCTACCTGGTCATACGGTCTTATATACACACTACACTAGCGTAACTACTGAGTCGGAGATTTAGTAACGTAATCTACGGGCGAGTGAAACACCGCAAAATACCATATTGAATGCCATATTTTGATTCCTCTATATCTCAACCACTAGCGGTTTTTATTCTTGTTAAAATTTGAAACAACAGTTTTCCAAGCAAGAGCAATAATATATCTAGATTTTGAGCTAGTCAGACCATTATTTCGACACTTTACCATAAAATACAGCGTAGTTTTGATATTGAGACATCAATATATATATATCTCCTATTTCTTAAACTTTCTATGCTGCACCACTAGGTCACAAATGCTATTTAGGTTATACGAGCTTTATATGCTATCCGAAAGAGCTATATTTTTGGAGATATGAAGTTGTTATTTATCGCATTTAGTATGGAGTTTTGGGGTATTTCACACGCCCGTGTGTTTCACTCGCCCGTGGATTACGTTATTCCGACCTAGAACTAGACCTCGCCATGACCCGGACCGTGGGTCCCTTCTCGCGACCCTTGACCCGCCCCTCCGGAGGGGAGGGTCGTAGGCTGACGACCCTCACCGCACCTGAGGGTCATAAAATCTTTGGAGGGTCACCCGCCAAGTTACCCTCACGACCCGCATATGCATAAATTCTTCACACCTTCCCTGATTAGGATGGATAAATTTGCTGACAGATAGCAATAAATTACTGTTTCTTATACCTGTTTCGTCTGTCACACACTTAATTCATCTTTTTCTATCCGACGCCTGTGTATTTTTATGAAATATGTCTTCAGGTCTTCTTGCTTGGTAATACTCAATTGACAGATTCTCAGGTCTAAGGGAGACCGTTGTGGTATGTATTGTAAAGAATTGGAGAGATTGGCAAATCACGATGTGGAAATATATATTTTGAGTGCAGAACGTAGTCGCACCGCAATCCAGAGACGGCTAACATTTTTCTGGATATAACCTAAAACCACTGGAAATCCTGACTTCATTGTATTTGATATATTGTATTCACTCTCTAAACACTTATGCTACGCTAAAATTAAGCAGAATATGTCGATTAAGTTCAATTATGTGACTCCAGAGTTCTAGGGTCCTAAGGGCGACCCTCACGACCCTCAGGGTGACCCTCACGACCCTCAGGGTGACCCTCACGACCCTCAGGGTGACCCTCACGACCCTCAAAGTGACCCTCATAACCCTCAGGGTGACCCTCATAATCCTTGTTCTAGCCAATTAGTATCGGTAGTATCAAATATGATATATCACTTTTTCTCCTTTGTTTGCGAAGTAGACCCTTGTCTACAAGACTCAACTACCCCTGAGTTCTTTACTGAATAGCACAAGAGATCGAGGTAAGACTTTTCTTCTCCTAACCATCTTCATAATGTCCCAGTTCTCTGATAACTTTTCATCTGCTTATGGGGGTCCTCCCTCGGATTTTCTTGAATATATTGCTAATGATAGTTCAAATCAGCTTTACTCCTCTATCCCATCTGGAAGTCAAACTACCTCCCTTCCCTCGTCTCTACATCGAGCGGCACCTGATTGTCTTCCACGGATTTGCCCCGATCGGATCAGATCGTACATCTTATACTCACCGGAAATGGGTAGCGAATTCGTGCAGTGGTGGCTTCATACCGATTTTGGCCAAAAGAGACAGATATCTTGGGATACAAAACGAGCTGCCCAGTGCTGGAAAAACTTTGACCAAGTCGCGTTTGAAAAAGATGGAAAGCCTGGGGTTATGTGCCATCAATGTCGGAAGGTGCTTGATCACCCTGGCTGGGCTCATTCAGGGACGACCTCAATGAATAAGCACTATAATGGGGTAAATTGCCGAAAAGCTGCCTCAGCTGCAGGGAAGAAACCAAATATCAAGCTTGCATTAGAGCATGCGGTATAGATAAGACCTAACTCTAACCGTGACGATCCTAAATCTGACCTCGACGTTTAGGCGCAGAATGCGACGGTACGAAGATTCGATGAGCGAGTTTGGCAGCAGAAGCTTGCTAAGCTTCTTGCTGTATCGCATCTCCCCTTTCTGTTTCTCGAGCACACCGAGTTCCGTGATCTTATCTCCTACGCCCGGCTTGCACCGTCAATGCCGGAAATTCCTTCTGCTAAGGTTATGCGCCGGCAGCTTCGAGACCTAGTCCGTGAGAACCAAAAGAGTATCCTTCAGAGACTCCCTTCTGGTGCGAAGCTATCACTTGCTCTAGATTGCTGGACATCGCCATTTAAGCAGGCATTTATAGCGATTACGGGATACTTTCTTGACGAAGACTGGGAGTACAATGAGATACTACTCAGATTCGAACACTTACATGGATCTCATTCAGGTGCAAATCTGAGTGAAGTGCTCTTCAAGCTGCTACAGGAGTATCAGATCACAGATAGAGTGCTTACGGTAACCACCGACAACGCTTCAAATAACGTTACCCTTATGGCAAGTGTCCACGACGCGATTGAGTCACTACAATCCGCCAACGATGTCGTTATTATTCGGATACCGTGTATTGCCCATGTGATCCAGTTAAGCCTTAAAGACCTCCTTGGGAAGATGAAGGCTGCTCCAAAGAATGATGTAGCTGAACAGGCATGGTCTGATGACCGGGTGGATAGTCTTCGTGCAAGACAGCAGAAACGCGAGATCGTGGACACTCTAAATAAGGTGAGATATCGTAACTTTTCTACCATTCATTATCCTAATCTGTCTCTTAGGTTCGAAGCCATTGCGATCTATATCAACGCGAGTCCGCAGCGCCGAGAGTCATTCTACAACTTACAAACTAAGGAGCCAAAGCTCGTGCCAATTCAGGATGTTGCTACTCGATGGAACTCCACGTTCTTAATGCTTGTCCGCGCAAAGAAACTCCAGCAAACCTTCGATGCTTTCTGTACACAGTACGACCAAGAACATTTTGCCCTAAGTCAGGAGCAGTGGCGACAAGTGGACTATCTTATCTGCATCCTTCAGCCTTTTCACCGATTCACAACTCTTCTTTCAAAGTCGAAGGACGTCACTATCCACCGGGTCTTTAAGGTCTACAATAAGCTATTTGATCACATAGAAAAGTCGATTAGACGGCTTAGACGGAAGAGGGTCGCTTGGAAGCAAGGAATGCTTATGTCACTCGAAGCGGCAAAAAGCAAGCTCTCAGTCTACTATAAAGACACTGATAATATGGATGGCGATCTCTATGCCATTGGCACAATCCTTTCTCCGCAGGATAAACTTCAGTTTTTCTCAACCGCCGACTGGGACCCAGAGGAAGGCGGAATTGATTACCGAGCAACCTATCGCCAGAGCCTTGAGTCCTCTCTCGAAAAGTACTCTGAGAACCTTGCGCGGGAGCAGCTGACATTAGGTGCTCCTCTAATGATTCCAGAAACGGATGAATTTGATTTAGCATGTGTTCGAGACGAGTCGCAGCAATCGCAGATTCCACAGCGAGTTCAATCTGACGAGCTGACAAGGTATCTTGATAGTAGTAAGTTTCTCTTAATTTCGACAGAATTTATTACTTATTTCTCTTTCAGACACAGTACCAAATGCTCAGCCTCGAACTTGGTGGAAATATCACCAAGATGAATTCCCGAGAATGGCGAGGCTTGCACGGGATATTCTTTCGATTCCAGCTAGTGGTGCAGGAGTAGAACGGCTTTTCAACTCTGCGCGAGATATTTGTCATTATCGGCGGGGCTCTCTACAGCCTCAAACAATCTCGGATCTTATGATGTATATGTGCACGTCGCGTTTCGAGATTCTTGAAGAGGAGCGAATAATGCTGTCTGAATATCTTTCAGCCCAGGAGATACAGGCTGCAAAGGAAGAGAGAACACAGCAACATATCACCGTTGATCCAATCAGTGATGATGAAGAGGATGAGGGGCCTTCTACAGAGTTTCAAGCAACTTCGCCTGGCCAAGCAGCTTCACAAGGCCTATCTACAAACGCACTTGGCAAAAGACGCTTAAGCAGTATAGCCAAGGATACAGGAGGTGACCAGGAAGATGATAGTGAAGTGACATGCCTGCCAGAGATGCAGCACCGAGTATCTGGTAGAGTTCGCAAGCGTTCAAGGTTGCTTGATGGATATGAAATATTGGATATATAGTTAATTCGTTCAATTCATCTATTCAGTTCATCCTTTCAATCTATCTGTTTAATGCATTCAAAGTGATCAAAGGTAGCAAAGTAAGCCTAGAACTGCTGTAAGTGAGATACTCAAAAATACAGCTAAAACCTACATAATTTGTGCACCGCGCGACATGCTGGTGTTTGCATTGTTTTACGACCCTGAGGGTCGGGTCGTGGCCCTGAGAGTCGGGGGGCACTTTCAACGACCCTCCCCTCATGGAGGGTCAGGGTCGGGACTCACTACCCAGGACCCTCCGAGGTCCGGGTCGTGGTCCGGGTCGTCAGGGTGACCCGCGGGTCGTGGCGAGGTCTACCCCTTCGTAACATCTCTGCTCCTCTCTCATCCACTTCCTTTAACGTCGTTCCTAAGACTGAACTTTAAATGTGTATACGTCTCCGGCCTTGGCGCTGGTTTTCTGATAGGCTTCGTGTTGTGACAATCCAAGATTCCCGGAGGCTACAATCTCCTTCGATAAACTGTCAATGACAGTCGCGATGACGGGGTATCCATTATCGTTGAAGATCGAGATGTAGACGTCACCAGTGGTACTGATAATAAAATTGAACAGCACGCCATACCATGTGCAGCTGTACGACTTTCCAAGCTTGGAACCAAGTCTCCATATCCCTCCCTCAGTGACCCTAGGAACCAGTTTTGATTCCTCACTAAGTCATGGTTCGTTAGTCTAGAAACACACCCTTTGCAAGACAGACTCACACTAAATTTCCAGCAGTATCAGGGGTTTCCAAATCGCGAGTCTCCAGATCGCGAGCCTTCTCTGACTGCGTAATGGGAAGCTCACAATAAGTGTAGGTGGGATTATACAGACATTGGGAGCATAGGGCTTGCTCGCGTGAAGAGGTAGTACATGTAGTATATCCACCATCACATTGATCCCAATACTGACAGGTATCAACAGCTGTAGTGAACTCAGTGCCGAACTAAGCAAAGGAGATGTCACTCTCCTGCTCCAGTATCTCAAGTTGCAGCAGCCCGAAGTTCTGGAGAAGGGTTGCTCACTCGACAAGGTAGCAACGGCACTGATTCTTCAAGGGTTCATAGCATACGGCTGGACATATAAAGAACTCGCTGAGCGCCCGTCTAAAGTGATAGACAGACTGCGTTCGTACATCGATGTTACAGAACTAGCATTACAGTACGATATGGATGCAACCACTTGCCCCCTGGGTTCCATATTCCTCACACCAGCCAGCGATGACATGGATAAGCTGATTTTGGATGCCGTACAGCTAAATTGGTGCAATTAGGCATCCTGTGAGATTCCTATAAAAGCGTCTTCATTACTTTGGCTAAACTAACTGACTCTCCGTCACAGATGGGCTAGGCCATCTCGTGGAGTTAACCGTTGATAATTCACAAAGTGTGTTACATGTACCCCATTGGTGCGACACTATTGAGGAATCCGTACCTTTTCCCACTATTGACGGTTCGAACCATTAGAGAATTCTCATGTACTTCAGCTGTTCCACACCCAGACCGCCGTATACAGCTTTATGCCTAGGAAAAACCTTGTATTATAGCAGTGAAAGCCACTGAAAAATAGGGCATTTTGCCTCACCATTAAATCTTCAATATACACGGCAGTCAAGCAGGCTTCTTTATTCTTCAGATCGGTGGTAGAACGCGTCACTATATATCATTAAATCATGCAAAGTGTGAAGGGTCGAAGCAAGTCTTGATTCAAACTAGCTAAGCCGTCATGCTGTCTATCAAAAGCTTAAGGAAAGGAAGATCTACGTGGCCGTGCAGCGGTGTAAACATGCCTAGTCACGTGGTCAGCACGTGATGTATACGGGCCCTGGCCCGTTACAGTACCCCCTCCTCCCCTCCGTCACCCATTAAGAGTGAGTTAACGTGCGTTGAGTCGGAGATTGGTCTATCGTGTGTCGAAACGTCACCGAACCGCTCCTCAAACGCTTCTAATGCGGAGCAGTCTTGCAAGTTCTTCACAGGTTCCCATGTTAACTCCGCGTAGCCAAGCCACTTCACTAACACTTCGCGACGTCGCCCTCTACCAATCTTCCTCGTTCTTGCTGCTATAACTTCCTCGACCTGGTATTCGAGTTCGTTACCGACTTGTATCGGTGGCGGCTGTGAATCGTCTACGAATTGAGAGTGTAGCGGATCCGTCGCGGCTGGCCTAACGAGTTCGACATGGAAGACTGGGTGTATACCGGACGGGACGTCGAGTTTAACTGTGTGTGGTGTCGGGACTTCTAGCACTGTATAGCGCGCATGTAACCAGTCGAGCTTCTTCGATAGTCTCTGCGAGCGGACGTTCCGGAGGTTCAACCATACTTTATCGCCCGTACGGTAGACTGGTGCAGCTTGCCTTGTCCGGTTCGACTGATTCTGTTGCTTCTCTTGTGCGTTTGCGATTGCTGCTTGTGCCCATTCGGTGGCTTCTCGTAGGCGGTTCACGAACTTTTCGCCAGCGTTTTCCGGTCCACTCGCTGCTTCTTGTACGTTTCCTTGTTCAAGCAACCCAATCGGCTCGATATGATAGCCATGTGTGAAGAAGAAAGGTGAAAGTCCTGTCGACGCTGCTTCTCGGTTGTTTATCGCTCCCGTAACAATAGGCAATAGACTTTTCCAGTCCGTTTGTGCGTAAGAGGCGAATATCCGTAGGATTCGTTCGATTTCTTGATTCGCTCGCTCTGTAGATCCGTCTGATTGAGGGTGAAAGGCAGTGGATAATCGGCGTTGAATCCCTAGCCTTTCGCATACGCGTTCCCAGAACCCACTCACGAATTGTGAGCCTCGATCACTCGTGATAGCTACCGGTAGTCCATGATACATGTAGAAATGTATTAGGAATACGTCCGCTAGGGCGTCCGCTGTAATCGACTTTATAGCTACGGTGATAACGCTCTTAGTGAGTCTGTCCGTGACTACTAGGCAATTCGTAGCGCCTTCATGCCCCGAGGGTGGTAGGTCGGTAATAAAGTCCATTGAGATCTCGGCCCATATTCGGTCAGGTATTGGAAGTGGTTTAAGCAGGCCCTGCTTAGTGTCACGCCAAATCGTGCTTCTTCCGCAAACTGTACAATTTCGGAGGAATCTTCGTACGTCCTTCGCCGCACCGGGCCAGAAAAACCGGCGAGACAGTATCGCTTAGGTGGCGTCTCGACCTGGGTGACCCGTAATATGAGAGTCATGGACACGTTGTATCACTCCAGTCCGTAAGGGTTCGTTATCTGGGATCCAGATACGGTCACGGAAGCAAAGAAGTCCTTGTTCGTTCAACTGGCATTCGGCGAGGCTTATTTTAACGTCTATTTCGGCTGCGATTCGTCGCTCTCCGTCCTTCAGCGCTTGAGAGATCGTACGGTACACTTGGTCGGACTTTCGGCTCGTTTCCCAGAGAGATTGTAGTGTGGGCTCCTCGAATAGAGGGACTGGGGTCTCGAAGTCTAAAGTGGAGTCGTCTACTTGGACCCGTTCAGTGTTCACGTTCACCTTTTCGTGTATAGACCGCGGGTGGTTCGATGTCGTTTCGTCGGCGTTTTCTTGGGGAGTTTCCACGGTCTGGCCCGTATCCACGTTCACTTTCTCGAACATATATCGGAAGCGATTCGATATCCTTTCGTCAGCGTTTCCCTGAGGAGCATCCTGGGTTCGTCTTGAAAGGGCGTCCGGTCTAGAAGCTAGCTTTCCAGGACGGTACTGTAGGTCGAAATCGAACTCTGAGAGTAGGTCTGACCAACGCATTTGCCGTTCGTTTAGGTGCCTCGCTTTTGCGAAATATCGAAGGTTCTTATGGTCTGTGAGAATCTTGAATTTCGGTACCATTTTGAGTTCAGGCCGCCATTCACGAAGTGCGCGTATAATCGCTAGTAGTTCCTTGTCGTGTATCTCGTAGTTCGATTCCGCCGGATTCAGTTTTTGAGATAGGTAAGCGACAGGTCGTAAAGAACCATCATCGGAGACTTGGGATAGGACTGCTCCAGTAGCCCAGCCGGACGCGTCTGCTTCCACAATTGTTTCTCGGCCTTCTTCGAAATGAGCTAGTATCGGTGCATCGATAAACTTTTCCTTCAATTCTGTGAATGCTCGTTGGCAGGCGTCGTTCCACGTGAATAAGGCTTCTTTTCGCGTTAACTCGATTAAAGGTTTCGCATAGTCAGCGAAACGCGGTATAAACGAGCGGTAAAAGTTGGCGAATCCAATGAAACTCCGTACGTCTTTTACTGATTTAGGCACTTCCCATGATCGAATTGCGTCCACCTTCTTTGGGTCAACACAGACACCCTGCCCAGCGCGGATGATAAAACCAAGGTATTTCACAGAGTCGCGTTCGAATTCGGACTTCTTAATGTCGCATTGAAGTCCGGCATCCCGCAGTTTTCCTAATACTTCGCTGACCTTTCGTTGGTGATCCGCTAGCGAATCGCTAGAGTAGATGATGATATCATCTACGTATGCGGACACAAAATCATCGAGGTGTTCTTGTAGCACTTGGTTGATATACCGTTGGAAGGTTGCGGGAGCGCCAGTAAGACCGAAGGGTGTTACGTTCCACTCGTAAAGACCGTATCGTGTTCGAAAGGCCGTTTTCCATTCTTCGCCAGATTGTACACGGATTTTATGGAAAGCGGCAATAATATCGAGTTTCGTGAACCAGCGAGCGCTGGCCATATTCCGTAAGGTTTCCTTGATCAAGGGTAATGGGTATCGGTCCTTAATCGTGAGTTCGTTAAGACCTCGGAAGTCTACACAAAAACGTATTCCTCCACCAGGTTTTCGGACGAGTAACACTGGCGAAGCGGCAGGCGACTTGCTAACTCGAATAAAGTTCTTATCGAGTAACTCTGTCAAGGTCTTTCGTAACACTAGTAGCTCTTCTCGATTCATGCCGTAAAGGGGCCCATAGGGCGGGGAACTTCGTTGCCTGACGCGTCTTTTCGTAGCGGTATACGATGATCGATTCTTACTCGATGAGGAGGAAGTTGGTCCGCTAGCTGTTGACTAAACACGTCTAACCAAGGCCAGTACTGCTTAGGGAGTCGCGTTTTCGGGTCGACTGGGTCTTTCGTCTGTAAAGCTTTCTCGATATCAGCCAGAGTTACTTTGCCGATTCGTAAGCGTTCTGGTTGCGTTTCGTTGTCGATGATCTGGTAGAGCTGGGATGCTGAGATGTTCGTCACTCGAAGAGGTTTCATTCCTGGAGGTGCGATCGAGGGGTTCGCTCGATTCCAGCACCGGGTCGTTCTGTCCTCCTTGTCTCGAATGTCAAGATAGCCTTTCGCTGGCGAATAGACACCTTTCACCTCGATTAACCATGGGTTTCCGAGAATCATTGCGTCGAGTTGTCCGTAGATAACATACGCATAGACTCGTCCTTGTCTGTGACCATGGATATCGGCGTCAAAGTACGTCACATACTCGATTCGTCCCTGGTTCCCCACTACACCGTCTAACGTTCGAGTAGGTATACGAATGCGCGGGAGATCAAAGCTTTCGACAAGAGAATGACTAACAGTGGCGTAGCAAAGACAGCCACTATCAACTAGTGCTTGCGTTGACTGAATTTCGTTTAATTGTACATCAACTTTGAAAGGCTTATTCTCTTGTTCACACAGCTTTTTCACTCCGTTTCGCTCCTGTTTGCGACTGATAACAGGAGCTACTCGTTTTCCGAACTCTCTTCGTCGTGTGATGGAGTAGCCGCTCTTAGTGATTTGCTTCTCCAACTTGTTTTCTTCTTTAGTGTCGAGACACTAGCGTTTTGGTTGCTTTCCTCTACCGCTGCGGTAGTGACACGAGGGCGTTGAAGTGCTTGCTGTGGTGGCTTCGCGGGTAATAGAGGGCATTGACGGATGCTACATCCATCCCTTCCGCAGCGGAAACATCGGCCTTCTCTCCGCCGGCATTCGAGTACGTCCGGAGAGACCCATTTCGCTCGTTTTCCCGCTAGCTGTTGGTCTTCGCTAGCGTTTCGTGGCTGACTTGCCCGCTGATAGACGTTATTCACGGTAGTCCGAGTAGGTGTCCAATCCATAGGATCGTGCGTTATGTCACCAGCATGTCTACCTCTCTGGGGTCGATTGATATCGAGGGCGTCCCTATCGGTGCTGATCTCGTGTAGGCGGGAGATCAGTCCCATAAAGGTAGCGGGAATGCCGCGATTCATTAGCGAATTGGTCATAGTTCGATTTAACGAACCTAGTAAGATTTGTCGCTTTGCTTCATCATGCCACTCGAGTGCGCCAGCGTCCGCGAATTCCTTTTCTAGTTGAGGAAGGAATTTTGAGAAAGGTTGGTCTTCGCGTTGCCGTATCTGGTGGAGGCGCCTCGCTGCTCTAGCTTGCGAGTTCGGGTCTCCGTATATCTGCTCTAGGTGGTCTAAGAGCTCCTTCGCAGTGCCGTCGTTTCGCCGTAGTTTCACGTACGTTCCGGTGTTTTTCCACGCGAGTTTCTCCAAGCGGGAGAAGACATACGCGAATTGGTCCTGATCGTTACCGATAGCAAGACCGTCCACGCTTAGCTTATTTTCCATTGTAATCCGCCAGGTAGGCCATTCGGTAGTGCTACCAGCAAACATTGAAGGGTCTGGGAGGCGAGCTCTCGGAGGGTGAGCTATAACTCCAGTTTGTTGATCGGACCTTTTCGTAGGTTCTATCGTTTCACTCGTGGTTCGCTGGAGAGTAGGGGTAGGTTCGCTAGGTGTAATGGTACTCCGTAACAAAGCCTCCAGTCTATCAATTCGTTCGTCTTGTGCTTGGATCGCGTTTTCTTGTGCTTGAATCACGTTTTCTTGCCTTGCATGGTTTTGGGCAATTTGTTGCATTAGGGACTGAGCCCAATTCGGGGGGCTTGATGATTCGCTGCCTCCCGCCATCGTTTCGTCTACGTCTCGTTGCTGTTACGCTATGGTTTCGCTCGTTGATCGCTATAGCGGCACTCAGTAGCACACGCTCTTTTTCGTTCGTTGGTAGCGGTTCTCAGTGACACGCGCTCGTTCGTTCGTCGGTCTCGTTGGGTGGATAAGAAGCTTTTGATATGTGAAGGGTCGAAGCAAGTCTTGATTCAAACTAGCTAAGCCGTCATGCTGTCTATCAAAAGCTTAAGGAAAGGAAGATCTACGTGGCCGTGCAGCGGTGTAAACATGCCTAGTCACGTGGTCAGCACGTGATGTATACGGGCCCTGGCCCGTTACACAAAGTAGCCTCCTTGTATTCTTCCTCAAAAGATCGAAAGCCTATAGTTTATCCTATCGCGACGCTACGTTGGGACAGTGATTCAGAATAGGGAATTATGCGAGTATGCAGTCGAACCAACCTTGAGAGCCCGAATGGCCAGTCGCTCGGTAAATTATCGAACTGGGATTCCTTATATCTGGAATGGCCTATACTAGCTGTGATATACAGATAAAATACAGTGGATTTACCAATGAGAGCAAATGAGAGAAAAGGGATCAAAAGGGGAAGATAATGATGGGATGAGAAGAGTGCTGATTCTGAGGAACTAAACTATTCGATGGGGTTGAAATATCCTGGAGAATATCTGTGACTCGGAGATTACTTATCTGAGGTCGTAAGCAGTGGCAAAACTACGCGTAAACCAAAGAGGCGGAGTATCGCATGGTTGCAGACCTCAGTCAGCCACAATGGTACCTGACGAGTCAATACAATACCGATCTACATTTTCTGGACACCTTATAACAGCAATCTGGCTGTTTAATCATGAACCACTAGATATCTACTGACCAATTAGAGGTCAGGGATTACGATGCGGAAAGATGGGACGAGTGAATCAATTAACTGCGATAACTGCCTGTTGAACAAGCAAGGATTCACGGGGATGAAATACCCATGAGTACAGCCCTTACTCGAGTGTTTCAGATCCGAGAAGGCAAGATACACGTAATCCGAAAATGGGAATATTGTAAGGTTATTAGACTCAGGGTTTCTATTCCAACCATTGCTACACTGGCACATATGGAGACGAATCAGATATTTTGACCCACACAGGGTACCTGCGGTCTGAACACTGGAGATGTAGGCGACGTTGACGGAGGGTTACAGCGCCGTGAGGGCTGCAGGCGGGCCCAAATGGCCCGGCGGGACAAAAGAGGATAGTGGAGAGGCTGGTGCTATGGAAGATGAAACCGGAGTTGGATGACTGGTCTGGAATTGACAGTTCCAGGCGTACAGTGCCGTCGTAGGTGTTGTGAAGTGAAGGCGGAAGGCTTCGGAATATCATCTTTCGAGGGTTTGGATGTGGTCATTTGTTAGGCCTGCGTTGTGAGCGTGTTGTGCCCCTTTCCTGAAACTGTGACCCTTAAGCCCCTGGTATCTTCTCCGGTGCGGTTGAGCTTAGGGATAACCGCACGTTGGATGACGGATGAGGTGAAGGGCCAGTGGAGAGCGTAAATAAGGGAGCAGTCATAGGTTGTGAGTCATGGAGGAATAACTTAGAAAGGCCTCCGACTGGGCAGGCTGCGTCGTTTGTCGCCGCAAGACAACATCGGCATCTTCATGGTTTCGGTCGGTCATGCTTTTTCAAAGTAAGGAGGACGTGGCCCATGGTGGGGGGAGGACCTGATATCTCCCGGATTAACTTGGTAGCAGAGAAGACTTGAGTGTTTCCAAGGTCGGCAGCTGAGTATGTAAATTCCCCGACCCAAAGGAATCCGGTGAAGGCAACGCGGGCGGCCGCGGCAAGATTAAGGGCATTTTTCTGGTCCGCTGAAAGCCCGACCGGTTGGGCAGTGAGATGTGGATATTCCCTGAAAGGGTTATGACAGACTGACTGCTATTCCTTTCTTCAGCAACTCCGCCGGCAAACTTCGCAGTAAGGCCTTTACCACACGGCGATTTGTCAATAATGTGCAATTCCAAACGGAACACTTGATAATAATTCTATAGATAATGTAAACTTGTTGAAAGTTTAGGAAATGCTAAAGATTGCTCGCACTCCATTCCTTCTCCCCGCCTGTTTTCTCAAGGCCCCACCGCGGTTTTCCCTCGTGTACCCTGCTACTCCTTCCGTATAATGCTCTCTCGTCCATAATCACAAGTTACTACACACGGCTTTAGCTTATTGAGCGAAGGTATAGAGGTATTAACTTACATAGCAGTAGCAGTTAGAGCTAGTACTTTATGTTAGCCTCGGCTAATAGCTGTAAAAAGGTAAAAGTACATACGTTCCATAGATATCCGCAAAGCAGTGACTAGATATAGAAGTCAGCTTTTCCTAGGAATACGCTTACAGTAAAATAAGGATTATTTTACCCATCCAAGCGTTGCTTATTACACTGTTTGAATTTAGTATTATTTCTTATTTAATAAAGATCAAACTTACATTGCCATGAAGACACTGTGTCTCACAAGCCACAACTTGGTCAGGCTGGCAAGTACTATCCTAAGGCAATAATTTAGTAAGAAGGATTAGAAGATATTTGTGACTCAACTAACGCATCTTCGAGGATTATCAGTAAACGTTATATCGAGACATTCGGGGAATAACATACGAGCCATCTTGTTCTACAGTACAAGTACGGCATAACTGTGCATGGCTGCTGGCAAAGAGAACGCCGAATAAAATAATCAATCTTGGAAGCATTTTCTGAAATTGTAGGATGGGTTGTTGAAAGTTGTAAAGATGTTATGGGTTTGTAAAAAAGAAAGTGCGTCCTTTTTATATAAATAATTCAGACTTTCAGCTTAGTGCTCCTTTCGATTATAGACAGTCAAGGATACCAACTTTCGCAAAGAAATAGATCGGAAAGGATCCGTCATATCCGTTTACAGGCTATTGGCTGTAGGTCGCTTTGCGTGAAGACTTGCCTACCTCTTCCGTACCGTGTGCAGATCGCTAAAGACTGCAACACTGGACTGTACCCCTCATCACGCCTTCTCAATGGAGCTTAAACACCTTCCGACCTTGAGAAAAATTTTATTCTGCAACTCGTAAATTCGGCGGCATGGCCAGTAGTGTCAAATCTTGTCCGAGCTTTTTTACGGACGTCCACCTCTTGGCAAGCATTTAAGAGGGCATTTTGCACCGTCAAATCCTTCCAAGCCGGCACTCCCGGCTCGCGACCCCTGTTCAGGGCAATACGCTATCGCATCCAGCCAGTCACGGGAATTCCTTATAGTAATACGGTCTGACAAAGATGACTTGAGTCAAGACGATATTTGGCCACCTCCGCAGCAAACTTTTGTAGTGCAATCACTAGCGGGGGTCAGTCAGGTATCGACGCGCTTTCCGGTAGGATAAGCACATTTTCGGAACCCCATTCTAACAGGAGAACCAGCATTGAACCTGCTGACCCGTATTAAGACCCTCTGTTCTCAGGAACCCAGCTGCCCTCTAGTATATATATCTGCACGAGGAACCTTTTGTTTCATTCTCCATTCAATCCGATCTTATCAATTTCTTCAAATTATTAGCCCACCATGCAGCTAATCACGCTTTTCCAATCCTTGATTTTCTTACGGCTTCTGTCATTTGGGCAAGCTGCACCACCCCACGAGAAACGTTCGGATATTTCTTGCTGTGCTCCTTTCCCACCTGTTTCCACCTCTGAAGTCAGATTCCAACATTGGGATGGAAGGCAGAGTAACAGACTTACACTGTGTTTACCTGGCTACCAAGCATGAGTAAAAGCCCTGGCCCAGCATCCATTAGAACTTGCATGTATCTCCGGCCAGCCTTGCGATCCGTTTTCACGGCTTCCACCGAAGCTGATATGCTTGCTGCCTGCATTGATAGAGCTGCAGATTTTCTGCCACGCCCACGGGATACGCGGAGGTGACCAGATTTCTCCAGCTGCTCAAGATCGTGCTCCAAGAATATGTGACAGAGTCGACTTGCACAGTCATAATCATCGCGACCACGCCTCACTTGAAGCAGAGCATGGAACAATCGCCGGAAGCGAGCGACTGGACCTGTGCCAGAACCTGAAAAAATCGTTTCCCGAGATGACCAAAGGTTCACGTATCTTTCTCCATCGAGTTCCATGGCCCCGATTAAGCCCTGGAGCGCTCGGGCCAGGTAAATTGCCCTGGTGTTTCGAGACCCCATTCTGGTCATAAAGAAAGCCCCTGCAGTTGCATGCTTCTCTGGAAGGTCATAGGCTGCTCCGGGAGAGCCAGTCTCAGCCATTCCGTCTGTTGAGGATAGAATTGATTGAGCCGGGTGAGAAGTAACCTGCGGATGATCGGATGACTCTAGTCCCCCCAGAGTGAAAGGGAAACAGCTCCATTGATCCAAACTAACAACAGCAGTGTTTGATGGCGCTTCAGCTATGAACGCAGTGATATCAACGGAAGACCCTTGCTGATTCGCTTCCTCAGGGTTTTCCATTTCTAAGGCCCTGGTAGCTGCTGCTTCTTGATATGATGGCGAGGTAAAGAGGACGTGTCGTTCGTTTTCCGTGCATCGGAACACAAACCCGCGAAAATGCCCAAGGAGATCCTTGCCATGCCAATCAGTTCTGGGAATAGGATACAATGGGTGTATCAAACTCACCGGTGAGTTGGCAATAAGTGACGGAGATAGCGTCTCAAATATCCAAGCTATATGTCTCTCACTAGCTTCGTAATCCATTAGCACTGGGGGACCTGCTAGTCCTATGAACAGATTTCCAGCACGTGAGGGCTTTAACAGAGACAGTAAGAGCGGCAATCAAAATCTGTACCTTGTGGACTTGAAGTATTTACACAAATTCGGGGGCCATTTCACAGAAATATAAATGAATTAGAGTGGGTCACTACCTTGCCGGTCTGTATGAAACAGGAGAAAGATGAGCAACTGGGCTTTTTTGTTGCCGCGTGTGATCTGCGAAACATACTACGAATGCACGCCGGAGATACAGTTTCCGTTGAAGTTTACAGGGTAGTAGGTAGTTAAAAGCCCTGATATTCTAGCATTCCGGCCATAGCCGCATTGAGTTTCGAGTACACCCGCCCCGCCGAAGGTACAGAATTTCTGACGGGGTTTCATGTGTCGAACACTGAGCTAAACGTAACCGCTGCCGATTTTATTGCCAGACCTGACCTCAGCTAGCCTCGCTTCATTAAGGTGACCATAACCGTGGCGTCAACGACCTTATAACGCCGAGAAGTCCTGGACTATTATAGTTAATAGGCATTAAATGATAGTGCCACGTTTCTTGTTTCTCTTACATTTTGACGAAAAGGTTCCACATGTCTATGCTCTTCTAGGTATACTTTTATTGGTGACCTCACGCAGTCAAGAGGAGCAAGAAGAGTGTAGTTTGGCCATAACGGGTCACCTGTCGCTGCGGTCGCAGACCGTAGCGTCAGATAGGGCCCAAATGACCCGGCCAAACTAGGATGGTGGAGGGGACGGTGGTGGAAGCAGCAGAGACAGCGGGGCCGGCGAGCCTGTCTGGAACTGGTGATTGAGCTTGTACAAAACTGACGCGTTCGCCGTAAAATACACCCTGAAAGACTCTGAGGTCCATCTCCCTAGCATCTGAATCTGGTCGTCGAGTATCCCACTATCGTGCGCATGCTGAGCTGCGCCCTTCCGAAAACTGTGACCCGAGTAGCCCTCTGTCCGTAGTCCAAGCGCTCTTAGCTTAGTAGATAAGGTCGAGAGGAAGTTGTTGCGACTGAATGGTCTTCTGTGGAAGGAGAACAATGGGGCGTCGGGCCCTCGGGGATCGAGAAGTAGCAGCTTCTGAAGGGCATCAAATGGGCAAGCGCCGTCTCCCGTCCTTGCAAGAATAATTTGCACCCCTTCGTGGCGGCGGTCCGTCTTACTGCGCTTGAGTGTGAGTTGTGCGTGGTCTAACGAGGAAGAGAATCCGACGTCGGAGCGAGTTAACTTTGTGGCTGAGAAGATAGAATGTGTGCTAAGGTCTTCAGTCTTGTAGGTGAATTCTCCGAGGCGGAGGAATCCAGACAATGCTACCTGGCACGCGATTGCGAAGTTCAAGTCGTCTAGAAGGTTCGCAGACATCTCCAAGGGCCGTGACGGGAGTGCGGCGAGGCCCGCGGATAGTTTCGTAATAGTGTCACGCGAAATAGGTTTTCTGACCCGTACTTTTGTGATGGGGTTGAGTCTTCTCGCACCGTCTATGAGACGTCGAAAATGCTTGTTATCGAAGAGTTTATCGTCAAGGAAATTATCGATATGGTAGGCTCGGAGAGCGGCTAGGTCGGCGAGTGCGGTGTCAGGCTTGACGGCCTTTTGGCTGGCGTTACCAAGGAGTCGTGAGCTTAGCCATGAGGTTAATGAATGTCTTGACACTGGCCATGCGGAGAAATTTTGTAGCGCGCAGTGCTTTTCGTAGCTGCGCTGAACGGAGAGGTAAACGGAACGGGTGTTGGCGCTGAGTCCGTTCCAGAGCAGTTTTAGGTGGCCGGCATTGAGCTGAGGAGCTCGTGAAGAGAACCACGCGGGCGGTTCAATACCGAGAGGTCCTGCCAATGGGGACAAATGTTAGCAATGTCTTCAAGATTGTTACGTGAGAGCGCGTCTGCTAATGTATTTTCCCCGGAGGGGAGCCAGTGTGGCACGATGTGGATGTCTCTCGCCGCCGCTAGGATAAGCAGGCTCTTCAGAGGTGCGTTAGGCGGACCATGAAGAAAGCCTTTCTTGAGTCCCGTGTGCGCTGTGGAGCTATCCGTGTGGATAACGAGAGTATGATGGAGCCAATGGTGGCTGAAGAGTAGGAAGCCTTGTAGAATAGCGTCTACTTCGTTGGTATTGATGTGCGCATGTGCGTCTTCAGCAAGGGCCAATGTGGCAGCATTGCTTGGATGAAGCTGGTGACAATGGGCCAGCCAGCAGTCTAATGTAGACTGGGATGAGAAGAAGAAGAGCCCCTGGCCTATACTAGAGGCATCTGTGTAGAGATGCGTGATGGGGCGGCGGCAGGGGTCAATTAGGAGTACGCCGTTGAAGAGAGACAAGGAGTCCCTCCACCATTCCAAATCGTCACGTATCTCGTAAGGGATACGGCGGCGCGCACTACTCCCATGTGGGAAAGCGGCTTGGAAGGTGTATAGAGACTGTAATCTTGTTCTTCCAAGTCGGACAACTCTTGAACAAAAGGCTAATAAGCCTGTGAGGCGCTCTGCTTGCTTGAGGGAGATATTCGCTGCGTTCAGGGCAGCTGCGGCGTCCAATGTGGCGCGGCACAACTTTTCTGGCGGCAGACGAGCTTCCATTGCAATAGAGTCGATCTGGATACCTAGGACTGTAACACAGGTCCCTTGCTGGTCCTTTTGTGTATTGCGAGGAATACGTAGATAGTCGGTGACTCTGTTATAAACCTCATCAAAAAGACCCGTGGGGTCGGACACTGAGGGAGACTGAGTAATTGTGATGAAGTCATCTAGGTAATGATTGATATGGAATGCAGGGAGGAGGCATTGGAGTATCCAATGGAGTGCCTCGGCGAAGAGGTTGAAGAGAAACGGGGCCGTTGCGAGGCCAAAGGGGAGGCAGCATTCGACATAAGTGGAATCGGTCCACTGGAAGGCAAGGAGGTGCTGGTTATCCTCGGCAACGGGGACTATTCGGAAGGCGTCCTTGATGTCCCTCTTGATTATTGTGCAACCTGGGCCAGCTTGTATGACCTGTTCGTATATGTCATCGATTGTCATGTATTCGATAGTAGACCAGGAGTCCGGTATGCCCTGGTTAAGGCCCTGTCCAGGGGGCCAGGATAGATCATGGATGCGGCGCCATCCCCCGTCGTGCTTAGGGACTAACCCAAGCGGTGAAACGAAGGAGGGCCTAGAGGCTAGTCTAACACGACCGAGGCTGAGATCCTCTGCTAGTTTGGCCGTGATCATGCCGGGTTCATGTATGTGATGGTTGGAGGAATAGCGAAACTGCTTCTTGCCCCTATAGCCGACCTGAACACCGTAGGTCAGAATGCCAGCGATAGTGGACCCGAGATCGCCCGGGTAGTAGCGTAGAAGATTGCTCCAGCCTTTCGCATGCAGTGGCGACGGAGAGGACTGTAGCCTTGGGAGCTCTGGGTTGAAAACGGGGTATTGAACAGCAGTGTTTGGTCTGGGCGGTTGCCCCTGTGGTATGAGGCTTAGGGATAGGGGATTGAGAACAACGTTGTCGGTGTCACTAGTGCAGTTCCCAAGGGCTGTCACTTGCTATTTCTTCTTGCGGCAGGAGGAGGCGCCATGCTCGCTTAGCCCACATGCCGTGCACTCATGACGTCTCTTACAGCCTTCCCAGGAGCACCCTGTCGTATTGAACTTATCGCAAACTTCTGTCTCATTATTCGAAGATCTGGTATTCCTAGCTTGACGAGGCCGGGTTGGAGGGTTTGTTGGTGTCTTTGCAGACAGGGTGAGATTGTGGCGGAGGTATTTCTCGCGAAATGGGCCTGTGACCAGGTAGTTGTCCGTCGATAACTCTCCTTTATCCATCATGTATTGGTGGAAATTAAGAGCAAGTCGGAGGACTGCTTCCGACCACTGATAAGTCTGAGCGAAGTCCAGGATCTGCCTCATAAACATGAGTAGATTGGGAACTGCTTTAGGGTGTTTTTCGCCGAAGAGATATCCTACAACGGCCAGATAGGCAAGAAAGCAGGTCGTCCATATTTGAGGATTGGGGCCCCAGTCCTTAAGACGCTGCTGCCTTCTTGAAGCCTACTGTGCCTCCCAACTCGTTCATCTTGAAGACTCTGTCCTCCTGATCTAGCTCGGTGACTGACTTCTCTTTGAAGCGTATGAGTTCAGTCGCCTTCAACTTCCTCTCAAAGACGCGAGTAAGAAGGGCGGCGGAGACACCAGGAAATATGTCGATGAGTGGTTTGACTTCGGGGAGTGGCTCACGGTTTTCTTCGGGATTATCGTCATCTTGAAGGTCCACACGAGGCCTTCTGCGGCGGAGGTCGGTCTCCGCTACATCCATTTCAAGGCGCCTAGCCCGGTCTCTCTGTATCTGTCCTAGCCAACTGGCACGGTCTGCCGCGCCCATGGTTTCCCAAATGTGGGCCGGAGGCCAAGCGGAGTCGAGTGTGGCAGGCGTGACACTGCTAGATTGGCCGAACGTCATGGCGGAGAGCAATATAGTCAAGGCTTATCGGTGCTATAGCCGTAGAGAAAGGATGTGATACTCAAAATCAAGACTTGACTGCGTGAGAGATGACGAGCTACCCGCAGAGGTAAGGAACTGACTCTCGTGAGGCAGTTGTAGGAGGAAGAGGCCCTCAGTAGTGTCGGTGTAGATATCACGTGAGGCTACGGGCATTGTGAGGTGATAGGTTCTATTCGGGACTGTTGCGCGAGAGCCCCGTGCGTCGGGCCCATGATATTCCGTGCTGGACATCGCACGCAAATATCGCCTGGCCATCCCCT